CTTCTTGAAATCATTAATAACATAAACTACAGCGATTTATCTATATATATATATATATATATATATATTCTTGGAAAAAAAAACGATAATTCCGATTAATTTCTAAAAGAAATAGGACGAATAACTTATTTTGAAAAAACGAAATTTTAACGAAAAACGCAGAAGCGTTTATTAATTTATTTACTTTATTTTATGCATCATAGCTATATATATAGTCTCGAGGAGGAAAAAATATCGAATTGTGGTTTAGGTTAATGTAATTTTGTTTTCTCACCACATTTACGTGTTATCATCGCCAATTCCAACTGCAATCGCCAAGCTTCCAATCCCTGGTAGGGTCTGCTTATACGCTTCCAGTGTTTCGAAGCATGAGCCTTGACATCTCAACAATCTTTCAAGAGAATCCTAGATCTCTTTCAGCTGAATAACTGTTGGATAACACATATCTAGAGTTGCACAGCCACAGTTTTACGAAGTTGGTGTTCAGAAACTGAAATGGCCTCCTCAAAGCCCGATTTAAATTGCATAAAACAGCTATGAAATTAAACAAAACACGAGTTTAGCACATTAACTTATCAAAATAAGGATAAACCATGCTTACTATATTTTGATATGATACTATAGCTTGCACCCATCTTAGGATTGTCAAAATTTACAATATCAAGCAATTTACCCGAGTAATTGCAATTTATTAAATATATATTTTTTTCATTTATATTATTACCACTGATTTAATATTATTTAGACTAATGCTCTGTTAGCAAGAAAGTAATTTCAAGTCTTTTAATGTGAAAAGAACTTAATTTCCCTTTGCACAAAAAATAAACTTTTGCTACTCTTGCAACTTCATAATTCGTAATCAGGATTTGCGAACATTATCATCAAAGAGCTCAACCAAGTGCTGTTTGAGGTCGGTCTTAGAATTTAAAAAATTCTGTGAACTTCGAAATAATTAATCCGATGATGCATTGTAAGGACAATATAAAGGATGCGACTACACATTTCAACCAAGCTTCAATAATTTCGTATGTGTTTCTAGGGTGTGTGTGCCTCACATTCCGTGGTGGAAAACGTTTTTTTTCCTCCCATATTGAGTTTTGGTTGAGTTTTTTGCTGGTAAGGCCAGAAGTTCTATGAGTCTGGGATCATGAAATTCCCAAAAAATATGATGAAAGGACATCGAACAGAATCAAAGATATTTGACAGTAAAAAGCAAATTTTTTGCATAAGAAAAAATTTTGAATTTTGTTTCCCACTAAAAACTGAAATTGCTTTCATTCAAACCCTACAGAAACATATTTCAAAAGCGTAAGTATAAAGAAGTAAGCATATGGTTTCGGATAGTCTTCAAACTATAAATTCACTGACGTCATCCCATTTCAATATTCCTTGAACTTACCTCACATAATAAATCATAAATAAATAATTATTGCAGAACGTGAGACAAACCCCTACTTTAATTCCCCAATCAAGGCAGTAAATAAGCAAAATCTTTTAAATAACCAAAAAGAAAAATTGTCTGCAGTTCAATTTTCAAAAATAAAAATACCTAGTGCTAAAGATGGGAAGAAAATTATTTTTTAAATATGTTTCTCTTGAATCCTAGTTCCTAGCAACATCGACATAATATAGATAATAAAGATTATCTTAATTTTAAAAATTCTCTTAATCTATATTCTCTAAATTTGTATTACATTTCAGCTGACTGCGGTGAACATAAACATGGAGAAACATTTCAAACAAAAGATCCCTGCATGGAACAAACGTGCAATGCGGGAATGTTGTTTCTTTCTGGGTAAGTGCATTTAAATATCAAAGTTTTTAAGTCTTTTGAAATTGTAATTCTCCCTTAAAATTGTCCTTTGTCCCTTAAAATTATGAGTATTGATCAGTCTCATGAAGAAAAAAAAAACGTTTCACTATATTATAAGTTATGATATTGATCTAGGAGACAGTGTTGCGCAATCTACCAATTTTCACTTTTTTCATTTTTTATGTAGAATATAATAATTTAAATAATTTATTTTTGTCATTGCACTTTCAACCAATTTTCACTTTTTATTTTTTCCAATTTTCACTTTTTATTTCAAATAATAAATTTTTGTTAATAACGCCTTAAGAGGGCAAAATTTTTTTAAAATTTTATTTCCAAAATATAGCATTTTACGATGTTTTTTTTTCTGTATGTATACCATTACAAAGTGACTATGCAAATATAAAATTCGATTAACCTTCGTTGCTTGAAACTTTACTCACAATAAAAAAAAAAAAAATCGTGAGAAAGGAAAGAAATTCGATTAAAGCAACCTTACACATAGTTTATGTTGTGGTAAATACCTTATTATTTGAGCTCAGAGGATGTTTTTTTTTTTTTTTTTTTTTTTTTTTTTTTTTTTTTTTTTTTTTTTTTTCATGACCAAAATTAGAAGAAAAATATCGTTTAAAAAATATGCTATTATCTTCAAAAGAAGACTAAAGTTTAAAATTTGTGGAATAATTGAAAATAAATATAAAAAAAAAAGCTAAATAAATCATATTTATTCATTTTTTTTTTTTTTTGGCAAAATTTTTTTACTCTCGAATTTATGAGTTAAAAATTGTTCTAAGAGACATATTTCTATGTTAGCTACATCTTTCATGTAATCTGTTTCTGAAACAAATCAGAAATTACTTTTTGGAATTAGCGAAATTTCTACTACAAAACTAAAAAATTAAAATTTTTTATTTGTCATTTTTATAAAGCAATTAAAGGTAACAGTTGATTCGCTTTAAATGTTATAGGAATCAATACCTCTGGGGGTACCGATACAGAAGTTTCCTTGTCTTCTGGATTGGTTCAAAATTACAAGGCTACGGCGTTGAACATTTGTAGTCGTAAACCCAAAAATTGGGTCGACTGTTCAACGGCGGTCATAAAATAAAATAAAATAAAATGTTATAGGAATCAACACTTCAGTTTCTTTACATGAAAAAGTATTTAATAAATCATTTTTATTAATTACTATTTTATTTTTTTGAAAATAATTTCAGATGTCCTGACTTTGCACTTCCGAAAGATTCTAAATGCAGAAGAGGAACCGGAGAAGGAACATACCCTCACTGTTGCGAACATCCAGTTTGTCCCGGTGATCCAGAATTTTAAAAATCAGGAATTTAGTCGAATATTTTCCACGAGAAATTTTCTTAATGTTCAATAATTTTCAGAATTACAGAAAAATATTTATCCATATTGAAATTTAGTTCAGAATGGTTAAAAATAGACATTTTAATACTCCTTACTTCAACGTTGAATAAAAATTATACATTCTGTGACATGTAAAAAGAAATTTCTTACCGGTTTTAAGAAATCCAAAGTGACAAACTTTGTGTATGAAATTTGTATCAAAAATTTATTGAGCTTTGTTTTGCAATATTTTGTATTCTAATATCTGACTTAAAAATGAGTACAATTATTTAATAATCTGTTTTAGACTGTCAACAAAAATATTTCTTGTGTTAAGAGAACATATTGTATTGAAAAGAACATACTAAATGAAACATTGAATAAGACATGTTTATATGTCTTTGATGCGTACCAATGCAAATTGGCATGAAAGTGAAAATTTTTATAACTGAAAAATAAACAAATTTTTAAAAATTCAAAGAAAAAATTATATCTTTATCAATTTGACACATATCAATATTACTGATGTAGAAAATAATTGAGGTTGTGATGATTAAAATTTAAAACGAAACATCTACTTTAAATGGGAAAAATATCATAGCTTTAACTCATAACTTGAATCAACAACTGCCTTCAATTTTTCCCTCATTCAAGTAGACATTCAAATAAATAAAAATGTTTGACTAGAAAATTTATTTTAGAGCATCATATAGATTTTCTTTAATACATGTTAAATATTTATGCATTTTAACACTACGACTCAACAAGGGTTGTTGAAACAAAAATCCTCAAAAGATTGACTCATCATTTAAGTATATATTTGAGTTCCAAATTGAATCCTTAAATGACAAATTTGTTGAAAAAAAGTTCCGATTACGAATTATCAAAACTCAATGCTTGTCCAAAAAGTGTAACTGGAAAAAATACTGTAATTTTAATTGATTCAACTTGTCATCAAAAGTTACAAATTTCAACAATAACGGCTTATGCATTATAACCACGCAAAGAAAAATTAAATGAAAGAAACTTAAAACTTAAATATTTTAGCATTAATAAGCTTTTTTTCTGCACTAAAGATACAAATGTTATCTATGTTATATAAAACGCTAATATGTATGTATCAATAAAACCGATGATATTTCTTTTCTCGCGTTGGCAGCAGTTTTCATTTTTAATTGATAGGCTTCGGCGCGCAAGAGCACGTAGTGAGCATATCATATGTCTAATCGGGTGAATTCTCACCGAATTATCAAAAAAATTTTCACAAAATTATCTTCATCGAAGCCGATGCTTTACATCCGGCGTTCAGTACTATTTCATATTGTTTTACAACACATGGTTTCAGCCCTCTGGTGGGAAAGACTTTAAAACAAAAGTTACAGAAGTTACTTTTCTCAACAACTGAAATTTAGAATAGTGTGATTAAGAAAATTATGTGAACTGTTTGCAATTTCAAATTAATATTGAAATGCACAGGTTTAGAATTTTCTACATTTAAAGTTTTCGGAACTTCAGTGTTCAAAAAAGTATACAAAAGCTAGACGTTAAGAACGTATCCAATGCGCGAGCAAAGCGAGGATCGGATTGCGAAGCAATCCGAAATGAACTGCGAAAGCGGTTCCGGGGGTTGGCGAGCGCCAGCGAGCGGGGAGCGAAGCCTCCTAGTTGATAGTAATGTATCTTCTTTCAATGAAAACAGTTTAATTTAGAGGAAACTTACGTCATAACGTATTAAGCAAATTATTTGTAAAAATGCAATGCAAATATGCAGCTGCTATTTAAGCGCTTGCAGGTAGCTTTGAAGACTAAAGACGTCATAGGACTATATAAAACTGGACAATAGACCGAGAAAAACGAACTATACAGAATATACGGACTATTGAATTACGAAGAAAAAAAATTCTGATTAAAACCCCTATAATTTGTCTTAGTGTCTCGGAATTAACCAAAGTCAAACCCCCATTTACCTAAGCAACAATGTTAAAATTGTTAATAAAATTAACCAAATCAAATACTTTTTAAGCAAAAAATACTTTTTGAGGGGCAAATTTTTCATGGTGTCATTAAAGGTGAATCATGTTGACTCGCGTATTGCGCTTGGTCTCATTCGGTTCAAAGTAAAGGGTGGGGAATAAATAAATAAATAAAAACACCAGAATGAATTGGAGAGTGGACTCGTTCTTGAGAACGGGAGTTCGAATCCAGCTAGTCGAAGAATACCAGGGTTTGAAAGAACAGAGACTGGTGTATGTTAAATCTGTGAAGACCACAAAACCCATAGCAAATTAATTCCTCTAGGAGTACCCATGTCGTCAGAATTGGGTTGAAAATTGATTGCTACAGAGTTGCAAATTTATAATCGTAAACACAAATTTGGGTCTGCTGTTAAATAATGGTTATAAAAATAATGCAATTTAACATTTATATTTTTACGCGCAAATATAATTTTTATGAGAGCAAATTATGTTTTAGACTTAAATTATGTTTTAGATAAAACGAGAGCAAATAATGTTTTAGATAAAAATATTAAAATAACAGAATTGATGCAGGGTACAATATAGCATGGTATCTTAAAAAATCATATAAAATAGCATTGAATAAGATGAAAATTAAATAGCATTGAATGTTTTTTGGATAGAACTTACTTCTAGTTGTTTTTAATAAAATTTTTGATAGTCATGCAATTAAAATTCATTTTTCAAGTATCTTGTAATAAGCTAAAATGAATCAAATTAATCAACCTCTTACGACAGAATGGTCCTTCTTTTTAAATTAATAGTATTTTAAGGCAATACACTATAAGTGTCAACTGATCCATATCGGATGATATTAAAACTTAATGAATTAAAATCGAATAAAGATATATTTGTGCGTGAAACCCAGAGAATTATATGAAGAATTCCCACTTTAATGTGAATGCGTATAAAAAAATTTTAAAGCCCGTGAAAATAGTAAAAGTATCTCACAAATAGTTTTATCTTCATAATACAGAAAAAGGCTTGACTTAGATTTATGCGTAAATTGTTTTCTTTTATTGTTCTTAATTGATTAAGTTCATTTTAAAAGATTACAGCCAAACAATTACAAAAGATTGCCATCACAAAAGATTGATTTTAATTTATTAAATTCATTAAAAAATTGATCTTCTATCTATTTTCAAAAAAAAAAAAAAATTAAATCAACTAAAATAAAATTCCTCATGAACAAAAAAAATTTAAAAAGTTTTTTTTTTACCGTGATTTCGGTGTAATCCGCATTGAAGTGATAAAATACCGATTTTTCTATATATTGAATTATTTTTTATCTCTCACAGGACCTTCTATGGGCCGAAACGAATGTTGCCCCCTTAAATTATTCCTCGTAAGGCATGCATCCCACTAGTTTATTTCAAAATTGGCGAGTCACACTTCCCTAGTTTCCCTTGTGAGAGTTTCTTTCTATTCTGAAATAAAAAATGGCTTGAAAGCTTCTAGGCAAATGGAGCGTATGCCAGCTTATTTAATTTTTTTTTAACGGCAGGCACTAAACTCTTGTTCATATACTCTGGAAGTAGCTGAAAATGTTGCTGTTTAACATTACCCTGTGGGCACCTGTGACAATTGGAGATTGGTGTCGTTCTTGAGAACGGGAGTTCGAATCCAGCAAGTCGAAGAATACCCTTGTCTTCTGGATTGGGTTGAATATTGATTGCTACAGAGTTGAGCATTCATAGTCGTGAACTCAAATTTGGATCGGCTCTTAAGCGATGGCGCAATTTAATTCTCTACCAAAATGAATTCCAACCAAATTTAATAATAAAATATATTTGTAATAATTAAGGTTATTTTGAGAAATAATCAATCTCCACCAATAGAGATTTCAAAATGCGGTATACATTCTTCAGCAAATAACTGTGGTTAAGTTATCTACGCAAATACACTTACGCTATAAAATGCAGTTGATTAAAACTTTCTATGACATTTATTGGCCAATAACTGAAACTATTATTTGTCTTTTCTTTAGTAAAAAATAAAATATTTTATTTCAGCGAAGTTCATCTAATTAGGTAATGAAAAATGTTTCTAAAAAAAGTCTGAAGTATGAGTTATAGCATAAAAAAAGTATATTAAAATAGCGCCAATATTTAATAAAACTTTCATTGCAATATCTACTATAAGCAATATACTATAAAACATTAATATCTATATCATAAAAAAATATTTTATTTTGTCGTTGCTAAGAGTATAAAAACAGGGCAACAAGGATTGACAAAACTCTTACAGAATAGGAAATCCAAGCAGAGTAAGTAAATCAATTTTATTTGAGTAAGTCAATTTTATATTAGATATTTTCATTTTTTCATGTCTAATGTGCAACAACGCATAAATTTAACGAAATGGCTGCTACTAAATCGTCCCCCAAAAATTAAAAATAATATTGAAAAAAAATTTTAATTTATCAAACGGTTCTTTCCATGGCTTGAATTACACTTTAAATAAACTGATTATTTTTAAATTATGTGTGTTTTTTCACACCGCCAGTACTAATAACTTAAATTAAAAAATTCATATAACAACTTCTTAAAATAGTTTGTATGAAGAAAATTCGAACTAAAAAGAAATAAATGTAATATTTAATTATTATTTTATTATTTAAATATTATTTTATTATTTAATTTACTAATTATTGAATAAATTTGTATTGAAATGTATCGTCACCTTGGGTTACTTTCACTACTTTTAAATTTCCAGAAAATCTTTCATGTTTTCTTCATTAGTTAATAATTACTAGATGGTAGTATAGGTTTGAAGAAAATTGGGTAAGAGAATAGGTTTACGTAAATTTTAATTTCTTCCTCTTTAAGTAAAGTCTAAGACTCTGATAAATAAAGTTACCTGATCAATCGACTCCACAGTTATCCCGATTGCTGGGGTAAGTGTGGTGGTTTTTTCTAAGGAATAAAAAGAAATCACAGTTTAAGTGCATTACACTTCGAAGAAAGGCTAGAATTTAATATCACCGATTCGGCTAGATTTTTTCACGTAGTTAAAAATTGTCGAAATCAATTAATGATTCTCAATTTTTGCAAATTTTTATGGGTTCAGACATTGGAATAAATTTTTAAATATTAACAAAAATTAGATCTCAGAAGTTTACACAAAACCGTGGCATGTCTTTATATTTATATTTTATGCTATTTTCATGGAATTAAACATGGGATTAAAGATGAACTGATTTTAATACATTGTTGACGAGTTAAATCGTCTTTGGCCAACATCGCTTGGACATGAAACCGACATTTAGAATGTTATATTTTACTTCCATATTCAATTATAAATAATAGCAATTGACAAGACACAGTTTTTAAGTAAACAAAACAACAAAATGTTAATAGTAAGGTCAACAAAATGTTAATAGTCAAAAATATTTTTTTATAAAATCGCAAAAATCACTTTAAAAAAATAGTATTATACTTACTGAAAAGTGATGATAGAGCTTTAATGACAATTGCAAAAGGGCAAATAAGTCAAAACAGCAAAATTTAAGGAAAAAAACTAATTATAAAGAAAACCAGCGTCCGATATAAACTCTTGGCTTTTTCTTCTGATACACTTGTCATGGATTTAATCAGATATATACTCTTTTTCATTTTAACAGATAAATTTTCCAGCAGTAATAAAAAGAAGGCCAAAAGAAGATAATTATGATTAGAGCCATACTTTTTGTGTTGCTTACCATTGCTTTATTTGCAATGGTTGTTGGATATAGCGGCCCCCCGAAGCCAGTTATTATAAATGCGTTCCAAGATACAACTCCGGGGATGAGGATGGAGTAATAGGCCGTAAGTATCTGCTTTTGATTTTTAACTAGGTAACTTAAAGTTTTGAACATTTTGCTAATGACGTTTGATTTGATCGATTGACTTTTATTGTGTTTTATATTAAGGGCGCACAACATTTTTGAGAGAAGGGCTTGCACAGCAGGTAGATTAACGAAGAACGACGCGCATTATAAATTGTTTTTTTAGATATTTTCTTTAATACGATAATGTTTAATATATAGGGGACAGTCGGGTAGCCCCGCCCTTTTTAAGGAGTATTGCTTATATTTCTGTATAATATTGAGTAATAATCAATATTTTTTTATCTTTCTATTGTTTTATCATCTAATTAAATAATGCGAAAAGAATAAACCAAAAAAAGAATAGTTTAACTTAAAAAAATAGAAATTTAAAAAAACATGTTTTTCAGCTCTTTTCAAAACGTGTCGGGTAGCCCCGCCCAGTTGCAAAAATTATGTTTTTTGACTGTTTTTTCAGGCGTAAATGAAAATGACCAATATATTGACAATAGATAAACCTCATTTATCATTTTTATCACAAAATTATTTAAAACCAATTTAGTAGCTGTTAACATTTGCTCACTACTCCATTTTCCCGATTAGTAAATTTTTTCTTGAATTTGGGCATTTTCGAAAAAAAAACTAAAATAAAAATTATTCTTCAAATAATAATGTTAAGAATATTATATTAAATAAACAGTTAAAATAAATATCATACCGGTATTGTGAAATTGGCGAGAAGAGAAATACAAATACCACCAAAACAATTTTAGAAAAATTACAAATTCACTTTGTATTTTGATTGCATTCAAATGCTTTTTTAGTCTGATTCGATCGCAAATAAGTGAAAATAAATAAGTATGCGAATAGCTCATCATAATACTTATGATTTCTTGATATTAAATTTAATTTGGATATATCAATTACATTTTAAAACTATTTAATTTGCATTTTTAAATATATAAATTTATGTTTCATATAATATTAAAACATATATTTGCTGTTAAAAATGCATATAACATTCAAATTTGAGGCAATAAAATAATAATCTTTGCAACCGTACATTTATCGACGAAATAAAATTGGGCGGTGATACCCGACATTCATGTGAGCGGGGCTACCCGAAATCCAATTTTTTGTAAATTTGTAATTTCTCGAACAATTTTTCACATATAAACTTCTTTCTTTGTGCAAATTAAACTTAAGACTACATACTTTAATGCTGTATGTATAGAAAAAATTATTTGTTTAGTTTTAAAATGAAGTTTAATCGAAACATTCAACCAATTTTTCTTAATTTCATGACTACTGTATTCAACATATTTTCAGAACTATTGTTTACCATGTTTCCAGCTGCATAAATGCTTGAAACTTTGAAAATAATCCTTTTTTATATATAAGAATTGATGTCCGATGGCCCATTGAGTTGAAAAAACATTCTGTACATATGAAATAGACAGTGGGCGGGGGTACCCGACACTCCCCTATATATATATAAATTTCAACGAAAGAAAAAAAACTGTAAAGCTTGCAGAATGAAGGTGCAAAAAATAATATAAATTTGAATTAAATATTTTTATTAACGAAAATTTAAAATGTTTAAACGAAAACCAAACGTTGAAACAAATCCATTACAGCACAAAGTAAAATTCAATATTTATTTAGCATTATTTTTCTGATATTATTTCTATATTTCTTGAATTATTTGAGGTTTTTTGAACTTAAAAAAGAAAACACTTTTTTTACAAAAGAAACATTTTAAAAGACAAAAGTTTTTCCAGAAAATTCGCCTTAGAATTTTCCTTATTTCAAAATTTCGTCATTAAGCAATCACTTGTGATACCCATTAATATCCGTAATTGTGTGAAACATATTTCTCTATTCGGATATTAATTCATAATTATAACGATCGCTAGCCTAAAAGAAGCAGGATGAAAAACAAACAATTAAAAGCGAACAACAAATAAAATATGAAAAGTAACAATAAATAGTCAAAAGAGGGGTTGATTTTAATTATATTTTGTCGAGAGTTGAATGTTGTTATTTATTCCCATTATAATGATGATGGGCCGACTGCGTGGAAAGAGACTTTTCAGTCTTAAGAGTCTCAAACTGGAAGACAACTGCCAGGCGGAGGCAGGCCTGGAGGAAGTTGATTGAGAAGGCCAGGGCCCACCCGGGGCTATCGTGCCATTGAGGAAGGAAGAATAATAAGATATTCTCCCCGTTATTCCGAGAGCTTCCTTCTAGTCTGCAAAAAATAACCTGAAAGCGTAGTGTCTTCTACGCAAATTGAGCATTTATTAATTTTTTTAACGGCTGACACACAATTCTTGATTTTCTCTGAAAGATGCCAGAAGTGTTGAGGTTTAACGTTACCCGATAGGCACATGTGAACCTCAGTCACGGAGACGTGTAAAATAACCCATACACTGCTACAGATACCCATTCGTAGGTGGAGTCACTTCACTCTCTTAAAATGAACGAGTGAAAATAACTCAACTTGAGTGCTATTTAACTCTTTCATCTAGAAAAAACCGGCCTTCTCATCTTGCGTTAAAATCACTCAAGTGAAAGAGTTATATGGAAATAGCTCAATTTGAGTGAAAAAAATTTCACTCATACTTGAGTTATTTTCACTCGAGCTTAAGTGATTTTCAGTATTACCTGAGTGGATCGTTTTCACTCAAACTAGAGTGATTTTAAATCGCGTTTGAGTGATTTTCAGTATTTCAGTTTGTAAATTGCAGTCAAAATTTTTATTATTAATATACAAAATGATTGTATTTAGTGGTGCCATCTATCGTAAGCAATAGAAAATACTATAGTTTTTGTTTAAAAAATTTCCTTTTTAGTGGAAGGCCTCAGACAGGAATTTTTTTATTATAACTTTTGGGGAATTTAAATATCGAATTAGATAGTAAAGTACTTGTGAAAGATTTCGCTGTGAGCATATCGACACTGTGATTCGAACTCGCTTCCCGTCTGTTGTGAGATTCACCGATTAACCCTCTCAGCTCTAGTCCTGTTTTAAGACGGCTACAAAGAACTAATTACTTTCATGAGCTGGGTCTTGTTGGCGAGGATAAAGCCTTTATTTGTTAAATCAAATATGGTGAAAACACAGTTAAACAATTTTTTCAGAGTTAACAGTTTGAATGCAGCATTTTATGGTTATCCAATAGTTTTGATTGTATACGGTAAAACAACAATTAAATGAATTATTACTTAACAGTTTTTTTTTTTTAGGAAAAATTACTAACCACTGTAGATTTGAGTTTTTTTTTTTCCTTCTCTTATGTTTTGTCCTTTTTCTTTTAAGTTTAATTTTTAAAAGTAAGGAGCTCTGAACGAATTTTTAAAGTAAGCAGTTTTATAAATATTATGATCATTTAGGTTCAATTGAAAATAATATGAGTTATTTTTTTTCGAACAAGTTTATTCGTTTAATTTATAAAGCTTTATTTTCAAGCAATAAAAAAGATATATTGTTTTAAATTGCCTAAATTTTTTTAAGAGAAATTTCCAAAACTAAGTGAAATTAATAAATTTTTGAAAAAGACGTTTGAAGCTAAAAAATCTGGATTAAATACCCTTTTTCAAACTCAATTTTGCAAACTCTTTTGATATAAATTTGTTTAAAATCTAAACTATATATTTGCTTTGATTAGAAAAAAATAAGTATAATTTTTGCTCTGGAATAATCCTAGCTTAGTATGAATTCGAATAAAAAAATTAACTAATTAACATTAACTACTTGACTTTACTTCAATATTGTTTTTACCATAAACTTTGCTCAAGCATAGTTTTCTCAAGTCAACAAGAAATAAATAATAAAAATTAATAAAAACGACATTTTCAATTAAATTAAGTATGTATTTTATGAATTTTAACTATTATGAATATAGATAGTGTATGTTATTTCCGTTATCAATATATATGTTTTGAATTTTTACCAAATTGTAAGAAATTAATCAAAAAGAAAAAAAAGAAAAAATATTATAAAAATTTAATATACCAGCCAGGAAAGGAAGATTGAAGACATCAAACTCTTTTAATTTTACAACAATGCAAAGTAACTGCAGTTTTTCTGCAAATTACTGCAACAATTTAAATAACAGCAATTATAGTCTGCATGAACAATAATTTCGTAAATATCTTTTATAAAAGAAGTATAGAATGATATGAAATTAATTATCCAGAAATGTTTTGTACCAAAATTATACATCAAAAAAACTAAAATATGGATATAAATTTATTATATTAAAATAAAATGTTAAAACTTTATTATGAAATCTGAACAAATTCTAGAACTCTTATCAGATATAATATATTCCCACATGCTTTGACAAAGATTCTAGCATGGAATCAGATTTTTTTTAATATTCCATGATCATCCACATTTAACACTTTCAATTTTAATAAATTTTTTTGACAAATAATTTAAATGAATAGTATTTTATTAAAAAACGCTGAAAAATAGCTAATTTAAATGGAATGTGTATATAACACATTCAAAATAAAAGTATTTTCAAACTAAAAGCAACAAGGTATATCTACATACTAAAAAGTAAAATAGCATCTTCTTCAGAAATACCGCTGTGAACTAAAAGTTGTTTTAATTCTTCTTAGTTCAAAATATTAAATGACATATTAAAAAAAAATTAAACGTAAAATAAAAACGAAGACATAATCTATTTAGATCACAGAACATAACAATTTTAGTTAGATTTATTATTGTTTGCTTTTTAAAATAAAGCGATAGAAATTTCAGCTTATATTTCGCACGCAATTAAATAATAAATAAATCACTCAAGTTTGAGCTAAAAGCACTCAAATATTGCTTAATAAATACTACTCAAGTTTGAGTAAACGCAAGGTAAGAATTTCGCTTAAATAAGAATGTGCTTCACTCAAGTTGAGTTAAAAATATACTTTTTTGAGTGGGGAAAATAACTCTTTCATTTTAAGAGAGCACACTTCGCAGGACAATACAGAAAGAAACATCCATGCCTTGAGCGTAATTCGAACGAACCCGCAATCATTGACTTCGCAGTCAGGTTCGCTAACCGCTCAGCCACTGGCCGGCTATCATATCCTAGTAGAGAATACTCGTATTTTGAACAAATTTTCTGACGGGCAGCTTCAGACAACTTTGTTCTCTAAAATTTGCTGTCTTGGGGGTCTATGGTTACATAATTTCCGACAATTTTGTATGCCCTCCAAGGTTTAACCTTTTGACATAATAGGTATAGCGTTGATATTCATTTCATTAAATTTGTCAAAAACGTATCTTCTTAGTGTATCTGATGTAACAGATGCGTTTTCATGTTTTGCAGGCTTTCGTTAAAAAGTCTACTAGCTCACCTGCTCACCACCTTCGATACCAACGTGTGATGAAACCCACTGGAAATAGATTTTTTTCTCTAATTTAAGGAAGTTTCAAGTTTGCTTAATTTCAAACATGATTTCAGTTTCAAAACAACGGTTTCACTGATTATATGTGTATATATTTTTGTATTTTAATATCTAACTTAAAAATGAGAACATTATTTTACGACTGTTAACAAAAAATATTCTTGTGTTAAAAGTACATATTTTATTGAAAATAACATGCTGAATAAAACATTCAATAACACATGTTTATATTTCTTTGAAGTGTACCAATGCGAATTGTCATAAAAGTGAACAGTTGTTTACCTAAAAAAAAATTATAGAAATTCAACTTACACAATATTATTGACGTAGAAAATAATTGAGGTTGTGTGATGATCTAAATTTAAAACAAAACATCTACTTCAAAAGGGAAAAATATCACAGCTTTAACTCACAACTCGAATCAACAACTGTATTCAATTTTTCACACATGTACTAAGTAGACATTCAAATGAATAAAAAAATTTGACTGGAAAATTTATTTTTAGATCATCACATAGATTTTCTGTAATTCATGTTAAATAATTATGCAATTTTACAATACAATCCAAAATGGGATTTTGAAGCAAAAATCATCAAAATATTGGCTCAACATTTAAGTATATTTGAGTTCAAAACTGTAATCTATGAGAAATGATAAAACTGCTAGAAAAAAATTTTCAAATTATGAATTATCAAAAATCTAAGGTTGTCCAAAATGTGTAACTGGCAAAAACACTACAATTTTAACTGAGCCAACTTGTCATTTCATCAAAAATTGCAAATTTTATGAATATTGGCTTATGCATCAAGACCAAGCAGAAAAAAATTAAAGAAACTTTAACCTTAAAATATATGAGCATTAATGGGAATATTTTTCCCTTGACTAACGATGCATTAATTAACAATTAACCGTGTCAAGAAAATGTAAAAACTAATTCTACTTTTAAACGCAAATACTCATTTACTTGCTTATGATGTTTTTCAGTTCCTTAATAGTGTAAGTGTGCTATATTATCATGCTTTTATCATTTACTTTTATCGCAGAATAAACATACTCTTGATGTTTCAACGGATAACCTAATCAGCACGATCATTGTTGCTTGCAATAAATAATTTAAAACATTGATAGTATTACCATTTTCAGTGTTTTTTTTATCACTTTCAAACAAATATTAAAATTATCGGCATTTGACTGCAACGATTATCTGATGTTAAACCGGTGAAAATTTAATATATCGCTAATGATAATTCTGAACAAAAATTTGAAAATGGTATAACAGGTTCACATATGCGGGTGGAGATATACTATGAAATTACATTTGATAGTTTTTCGTTGTCAGGCAACTCAGCACACTAATACCAATCGCTCACAAAAAACTTTAGAATTTCATTATGTTCAAAAATACATTATATTACGATAACATCACTTAAGAAATAGAAAGTGGAAACTTGTTGCTGCAGTATTGATGCGCATTTGCGTCAGCATCCCCTTCTTTTCATATTCATTGGTGAGTTGAATAGCCAGGAATGCGTATAATATCAATCTGAAATTATTTTTAAAAAAATATTTTTATCTAGGGCAGTGAAAATTTATTTAACTTTCAAAAAATATGAAGAGTGGTCAAAAGAAAACTGACCACCCTGAATAACTTTTGATCCTTTGACCGGATCTTCGCGTATTAAGACTGAATTTTAATGGTTTGAGAGAGTGACCTCAATTATGCTATTTAATCAGAGTTTAATTTTAAAGTCTGACGCAAAAATCTGACGCCGAAATCTGACGCAAAAATGTATTATCTCAGCATAAACTACATTTATTTTGACTGATTCTGCTTGATGACCTACAGTATATAGAGGGTAGTCTCAATCTTGGAAATATTGTCTCAATAGTTTGGTCAGGAGTGCCTTCCAAAGCTTGCAACCCTTAATGTTAATTTCATTTTCCACGTATTTCGCCATATCCCAAGAACTTTTTAAGTGAATTGAAATTTTTTTGTTTTCTACAATTAGGAAATTCGTTTCCCCAAAGATAATTTCATGCAAAAAGTAACTATTAGCAAATATTTACGACTATTTTTTTAATAGTGGTCAAAGAAATTTTGAATTCTAAGTTATACAATTTTTTACATTATTTTAAAGAGTGTAGTATAGCATGGCAAAACTCTAAATTTGAGCGCGTGTATAGCTCTTGAGAAATCTAATTTTAAAAAAAATAGTATTTTAAACTTTCATGGTTTTAAGAAAAATATTTAACATATAGCAATTCTGAACATAAATTTTTCTCGCACTGCCTATTAGAAGAAAACGATGTTTCTAAATTTTTACAGTAACTTTTGTTTTCGATTTTGCTTCCATCTTAGATAATTTGAATTGTTTGAATTTGAATAATTTTTTATTAAAAGATATTATGAATTAGATTAGAAATCTAATTGCAAAGGCAGATATTGCACCATTTGAAAGTGCATCTCGCATTTGCCAGATCGACATAATATTTTAAAGAAATTTTTTCTTTTTCTTTTTGGAGAAAGACTGTGGGTTGTTTGGTACCTTTGTTAGAGTCCCCACTTAAACTCTAAAAAGAAATCTAACTCTAGAAAAGACTTCCACATGAAAATGTTCCCTAGAATAGATTATGGGTTTCTTCGTAAATAACACTAAGTTTAAATAAATAACTATCTTTATTAACATTTAGGAAACTTGTAAATTTAACTAAAACATTCTAACATATATGAAACTTAACCACTTTAACATTGAAGCAGCATAGAAAAAAACTGCGAAAAGGTAACCGGCGAGAACATGCCGAACTGCTAGCTAGAAGCGACGGGGAGAGAGAGCAAGCTGTGGGGAGGCGGCCAAGTTATATCCAAAACATACTGTGCGTGTTTTGCTGATTTCGCCCTTCACGCATATCTCCATTCAGGTATGAGGTTTACGTCAATTATCGGCTGCAAGCGACGTAGTCCAACGTCAGAGATTCGTAGTTCGGACTTAGCAAATCAGACCGCAGCACCACAAGACTAAGGAGTAAAAGCAAACCTATATTTTGTTTTGGCTATGTTTATGCAATATTATAAAGCACTCCTTTTTGCGGATATAATCGTGTGAGCTGATAAAAAGATCATATCTCCCCCTTCTTTTCATATTNATATCCCCCCCCCCCCCATTTTTTCGGATTTTTATTTTTTTTTTTCTTTATTTTTTTTATTATTCTGAAATTTTTAAATGTTTTCCCTTCTTTTGAACTTATTTTATGAGTTCTATTTCCTTGCTGCTTATGTGCAGTAAGTAAAACTTATTGGTTTTCTTAATTTTATTCGTTTTTTTAACGGATAAAAGCAAACCTTTTAAAAATTTAAAAAAATAAGAGCCAATCTAGTGTATGCTCGTTTTAGAAATTTTTCCATACGATCGCTAAAATTTATTCCAAAAGCTGTGATATTAGAAAGCCATGAATATAAATTACTCTTAATAATTTAACAAGTTCTAAGCAAATGAAATCAGTGTGTAACAATGAGATAAGTTGCATTTTAAAAGGAAGTTGGGAGCATAATTACATATCATTTGCTGATTGCATTTCCTTAAAGCGTTATAAGTGCCACGAAACAAAATTTCAATTAAAAGACTCTTAGTTACAGCTTTTTGGCTGATGATTCTCAAAGTGTTATTTAAAATGTTAATGAATTAAAATAAAAAAAATTACACCTTCAAAATGTTATTAATAAGCGTGCGACGACAAAAGTTAGAGCTATAAAAAACTACAAGCTACGAGAAAAATTAATAGTATATGGCACTGGTAAATGGCAATTGTAAATGATTCGTGGTAAATGGTACTTACGAAATCAGATGGTGGTGGTGGTGGCCGAGTTGAACTTGGAAACATTGGAGGGATCTTTCCAGTGCCATAGGCTATCACAAAAGGGAAAAGTGGTAGAATCAAGAACAATATGTATTGAAGCATTGTCTTCATTTTTTCGTTCTAAATACCACAGTAATTGCCTGCAAAAATGTGCACTAATGAAGCTGTTAGCAACAACAAACATTTAAAAGTGAATAAGCAATAAAACAACTAAAGAATAAATAGTAAGTAAGTTGATTAAGTAGAATGATAAAAGAAATAATAAATAAAAATATTGCTGTTAAAATAAATAATGTTATGATTGCTGAAATTAATTATAATAGAATTGCTAAATACTGTTTTTTTTTTGTTTTTTTTTTACTTAGCTCTAGAGCAGCACAATGGGCTATTGGCGATGGTGTGGAAAACTTCCCTGAGGAAAATCCGAAGGCATGTCGTAACAATTTTGATTCTCTGCGAAGGGGAGGGCTCTCGGTAGCCCGAAGACCTGCACGCGAAGTCGAACACTCAATGACAGAACATAGGATCGATACCGCATACCATTTTTCCCTTCGCAGCCAGATCAAAGTGGTAAACAACCCGTACACTGACCGCAATCAATAATGCTTGACTTCGGTGTTCGTGTCTTACGATCAGTTCATTGAGGGACTGACTACGATTGATGCAAAAACAGTATTAGAAATGATTGAACAAATACTAATTGAATTGATGAAATAAATAATAATACAATTGATGAAATGAATAATAATACTATTGATAAAATAAAAAATAATAGAATTGATAAAATTTAATCAGATGGATGAACTGAATAATAATACTATTGTTAAAAAAATAGTAATATGATTGATTAAATATGTAACTCTAAAATCGTTTGAATAACTAATAACAAGATTGCCAGACTTAATGATAATCGTTTACATCTTACGGAAGTAAATGATTCAGCTGATTACCGCATGTGCCATCGAATTCATATGGTTGGTGACCACCTCAAAAACTGCCATATTGTTTCGAACTTTTTTACTGGTCACTTTCTCTATGCAAACTTATTCTTAAGCCATGCTTTTGTCATATCTCGTCATTTTGTAGGGCTAATTGTTGACAGTAGACGTCGACGTAACAGCGGATGTTGGATAAATGATGTTGGATAAAAAATATTCAATGATAGTATGATTGGTAAAATTAATAGTAATTAGATTTATGAAAATAAGTAATGGCTGTATTGCCGAATATGTTATTTATTATATAAGTATAATACAATACAAACATAAATTGTAATTGTCTAATACAATACAAATAAAGTTCTATACAAATTGGCACAGTTGTTTTCAGGCTCAAATAAATATGTTTTTAGAATTATAATATTA